TGTGATATAACCTATATATTCTGCAAGTGATTCCTGGAAACATGTGGACAAGAGAAGGTTTTGGGATTTTAGTTTTCTTCATTTATCATTTTCCCAGCTATTTCCCTTAATTTTCTCCACAAGAAGTAATTCTTGCTGAAATATCTTTGTGCTCTTATTCCCTTTCCCCACAGTTGCTGGCTATCTGAGTTGCATTGACAATAACTTTGCAATGTGTTGCTGACGTTTTTTTCTCTCAAACAAGGGCAAGCACATTATATTTCATCACCTTTTTACATGTCCATAGAGACAATAAGTAATGGAGATTTAAAAAAGAAAAATCAATATTTTAATTAAGGAAATCCATGTCAAGTATGTTTTGATTCAGAGGGAATTAGTTGTCTCCCTGGAAGGAATTTAAGTTGGGGATTAAATGGCACAATTTGGGATGGTATTGTACTCATTCTCAATGGTCACAGCTAGCATATCAGACAATTTGGTGTGGTATTATTTGAAGAAAAGAGAATTTTGTAAATATTCACCCAAACTGCTGGAGTCTATGTAGAGTAAAGATTTGTTCCCTTTTGAGCTGAAATTTGGGATGGCAATGAAAAGAAAGTCCTTACTAGTCTGTCAGGCCTCAGCTGACCTAACAGAAAAGAAAGTGCAGCTGAGGTACCTTCAGTTTTGTTATCAGTAATACCTGGGAAACAAAAATTACAGAAATAATTTTATTTTTTTCTTAAATTAAATATTTTTCATTTCTCTGAAGTTTTTCAGTTTGGATTCATGACTGTAGTGAAACAGAGATTTAAGTAATTCAAAGAATCACTGTTAAAGGTACCAGCAAAAGTATGTTTTTTTCCAAGGTGCCATTTAATAAAGGTCGGTGGCAAGGTTTACTCTATTACTTATTGCGTGAAAAAAAAAAACCACACACACAAAGGAAAATGTCTTAGAATCAAGGTAGAATGAATTACACAGAGACTGGAGACATAAAAGTGTAAGGGAGACAGTCCCACTGAGTTATGAGATCCAGAGAGGTGCCCCTGCTTTCTAAACTCCTGATGTAGCTGCTATATTTCTGGAAAAGAAGTTATTGGCTTGTGGTCAAAATATATACAGTGGCAAAGGTATGAATGAGACTCCTTGTTCCCACACCCTTGTTTGGTCCTTGACAAATGACTCTTGCAAAAACTGTGGGTCACTCTCTTCCTTTGGGGGTTTCCTCGAGAAGGAGCAGCCAGGAGCTACAGCCCAGGCCTTTACCCACTTTGGAAACTGCACCAAGGTAGGGTTAATTTGTTTAAGGTGTCAGGTATGCTCATCACAATCACCAGCTTCTAAATTTTTGAAGTACTTATGTGAAATATTTTGCTCCGTGTACATTTTTGAATCAAACACAACATGTTCATCTTAATCTCAAAAGTTATATCTTTCTGGTTTTATTATCCAAATATAACTAACCACCAATTTGTTATAAAAACACCTATTTAGTTATACTGTACAACAGTGGACATGTATCTAAAGTGTCAAGTACGTATCTTAATTTGTATCAAATTATTACAAATTAAAAAGAAATGTTAATTTAAGAGAAATCAAATCCTTATTTCGGATGCTTAATTTAATATGTCATCAAATTTTTTTGCTAGGAAAATCCTATTGAGAATCACTATAATAGTCTCATTATTATCCTGAGGCAGTGAGTGTTAATTAAAATTTCTTTATGGGAATACTATACATCAAAGAACTTTTGCATGATGCTCCACAGTGCGATACGTACTGTAGTCTAATCAATTCCCTCTTTGATTTTTTTAACCAGATTGTATCAAGCAGATAAAGATATTTGGAGAACCCATTTTAAGCTGATGCACCAACAAATGCAAAGAATCTCTTCCTTAGTTCCATCTTGATTGGAGGAAACTAAAAGTTGTAGTTCATAAGGAAATTTTCATGCACAATTATTTTCAATTTTAGACATATGGGTACTTTTGCAGCATTTGAAGAGTTGCAATGGAGAAATATTGCCTTGGTTCCTAAACTGCTCCTCATTTTTGTAAGAACTTCAATAACATTCTCAATTTAATATTCCTATTACCATTAATCACAGTGAAATTATGTTATATCAAATATATTTGGTATTTTATATTAAGAATGTATCTGAACAGACTTAATTACTTAGGAACTTTTGTATCATCAGCTTTGTTTAGAAAGCTTCCTAGGACAGAGCAATAGTTTTTGGATGAGTTCTTCCAAGCAGTTCTTTCAACAATGGAACACTTTTTCAGCTAGTCCGTTTAAGTGCAAATAAAAATCTCTCTCTGAGAAATAATTGTAATCACTAAGTTATGTAGAATCTCCCTCATCTGCTCAAGCAGTTAATACTTGGCTCAAGTTTCTCTACTTGCAAAATGTAAGAGTGATAATACTTCCAAACTGATAATGTATCTGCTGTAGTAGTACACATGTTTTTGCCGTCTGGCTTCTAAAATTTTTACAATTTTTCTCAGTTGAGTTTGATCAGAGATCTGAAATAGGAAGAATGTCAGTCCTTCAATTCCCATTCTTATAGTTTCTAGTAAGGTAGAAACCTGATGATTTGAATCTTCTGATCCCTTGGAGTCACAAAGCAGGAAAATGCCATGCAGATATCACTGATCAGGTTACTTAGATTTTCTTGGGTTGAAGAGAATTTAAAAGCCTAGCTTTAATCCTAGGTGGTGTGTAAACTCGCATACCATTACCTTTTTATACTCCATTGTTTAAAATGTGATAATACATAATTTATTAATGGCTCCCAGATCGTGGGTTCTGATTCTTGTACATAGCAAAGTCATTTCCAAAGCCCAGAGTCACAGGTTTAGAACTGGAGAAAAGTAGCATTTCAGAAACAGATTTGCATTTAAAAATTTGTCATAATTGCTGTCAAAAGTTTCATGTTGTTTGTCTTGTTTTTGTTTTTCCTCCTCAGAAGTACCCTATGAAACCCAGGCACTTAACTCTCAGCACTAGGTTCTACCAGAGACAGGAATAGCCATAAACAGTGGGGTGCAAAATGCAAAATCTGGACACTGAAAACTTCCCTTCTTCCTAATCCAGAAGAAAAGTGAGAAAAAAATTTTAAAAGTTGGCAATTTAAGATTCAAGTTTATACAGATTGTGTACATCTATGCATATTTATATATACATATATATATACCTAAATATACACACAACTACAGGCATATCTCAAAAGTTAGGCTTCTCTTTTCATAGGTTCACTATATTTTATTTAATTTAGTATTTGGTGGTCCCAGTGTTGTATTTCTATCTTGCATGATCCTTTCCCTTTGTGAAGTGTACTGAATCTATCCATGACATTTAAGATAGATGAAACCTCTCTGAAAGATGTTCATATTACCTGGCCTTGTGAGGGTCTGATTATTTTGCTATTGGACATCAATGCATTTCTTTCAAGTTTGCTGACATCTCATTAATCGTGAGTAAATTCATGCCAGGTCCTTGCAAGAATTGTAATTGATACCCAGTGGCACCCAACCGGACTCTTAAATTGTTCATCAATAAAGTAACATGTAAATTCTGTCCTTGAGGAGCAATGAATCCACTTTCTTTGAAATCCCATCAGAGAATCCAAGAAAGCATTGGAAAGAAAGGAACAGATGGAAAGCTGGATAGTAAGAGCTAAAGAAGGTCACAGCACCAAACCGTAATACAGCTATAACATATGAATCTCTGACCTGGAATTAGCTTCAAGATGCAATTTCCTTGAACTTTGTCATTAGGACAGCTTAGTTCTGAAAGGTGAAGGCAAGTGACAGGAAGGACTCCAGTCTGCTACATTTACTGTTGCATTGCTTCCCACATTATTTATTTACTTTTATGCTGTATCACTTATTTATATTCCCTGTTCAATTCTTGATTGCAGTTTAAAATTCTGTAATACAAAGACAAATCTTCGGAATTCAGATATTATTTTTATATCTTTATATCTTATTTTTAATATTTTCTTGTTTTAGCAAAATGTATCTTTTAGCACTGTATGGAGACATTCATACAAAAAAAATCCAATTATAATTTCTAAGATATAATTGTAATAGTGTGCATCATACCTGATTTAAAGAAGAAATTTTTTTTTTGAGAAATCAAATTATTTTGAGAAATCAAATTATTTTGAGAAATCAGAATGTAAATATAATTTATTCTCTGTATACTTTTTTTAAAGAGGAAAAATATATGCCATAATATTAATTATATTTTAGAAGCAAGACAACTGCTTTTAAAGCAAAGAAGATAAAAATTTATGTAATTTGGATGTTTTTGAAACTAGATTGTTGATAAATAATTTATTTTATATATGTGAAAATATTGATTATATTGACTGAAATATCCATAAATACTAATATTTTAATGACAAAAATTTTGCCTGATTGAAATGTATATGGGAGTGGGGTTTCTTAATTACTGCAGAGTTTACAAAGTGTGATTTACAAAATATGGTTCTAGTGTGCTGGACAGCTATGATTTTAAAGATTTTGAATTAATATCTCTTTTTTTATTAACTTTTTTATGCTGAAACATCTGAAAAGAGCTACAAAATACCCTACATTTCACAACAAAAGCATTCTTGGGGTTCCTTTTTAAAGAGCTGTGCTTAACCTGTCTAAGAAGAAAATGTCCAGACTGTGACCAGATATATTTTTCTTTTCATTTGCTTATTGTTGAGTCCTCATGATAGAAGGTTAGTATCAAAAATGACAATACTCTTTGCCCTTACAAAACAAACTTCTTTTGCTGGTTGCCACTGCTTTTGGATTATAGTAGTGTTCTCTGTCTTAACTCGATCTAAATGCATCACTGAAACAAATGAAATGATGAATCTTTGATACTTATCTTTATATATTGTTTCAGTTAAAAACTATGATCTTGGACTCTCAATAAATTAGTTTTGCCTCCTATTCACAGAAAATTAACTATTAATATTTTTAGGAAGCTATGGAATTAAATAGCTCACATACCATTTAAAGGGACTGAAAACATCTCCCGCTTCCAAGTGGCAGACACTGATACAGTTATTGCTGTTCATATTCTCATACTCCCTTCAAACACACAATGCAGAACAAGTCAGGGAATCACTACAAATCGAAGGTGATTGGCAGGGCAGCAGCCTTGCTGGAGAGAGCCTGGAGATTAAGGTGAATGCAGGCTGAATTTGTATTCGACAATGCACTTCCACAGCATACAAGCAAAACCCCACACCAAGCTACAACAGAAGCAGCATGACTAGCAGCTGCAGAGAAGTTATCATCTCTCTGCTAGTAAGGCTGAGCATTGAATACTGAGTCCAGTTTTGAATGCCCAGAGGTCTGTGGGAGAGTGGAGACAATGCTGCTGTTCTGGGGGGACATGTGATCTATGGGAAGGGGTTAAGGTATTATGAGGTTTATTAGTTCAGCAGCACAGTGTCTAATTCATGATTCAATAGCAGCCTGTGGTTACCTGAAGGCTGCTCCAGGACTGAGGCAGACAGATTCTTCTCAGTTGTCAAAGCTAATACAACAAGGGGCAAGAGCCACACAGTGTCTCAGGAAGCTTCATGTGGACATTGACAATAGTCTTCCCTTGTAAGTTAGTGGAGAGTGTACTGAGATTTCGCAAAAAGGCTGTGGATCTTCATTCTTGGAGACTTTAACATTTATCTTGACAAAGACATAGCTCACTGGTCTAGAACTGCACAGATCAGGAGTGTGGACTATGTAGTCTTCAATGTCTTAATGTGATCTCAGTCTAATTTAGCCTCATTGATTATTTTGGATCGCTTTACCACAGTCATAGAAAACTCCCTCAAATCAGAGTCCCCAAATAAATCTTCTCTGGAAGAAACCTTGCTGTGCCTAATAAATTCCACTGTAGAAAACATTGATTCACTATACATGCAGTTGCTACATTATTTGATATCTTCAGTTTATCACTGACTTATTTGAAGTGTCCAGCCCTCTTAATTATCTGGTCTCCTACTGGACTGCCTCTTGATGGTGACACAGATAAGAAGTAACAATTCCTCTAATGCTGATGATTTTATGGAGAAAATTTCTAAAGATTTGTCACATATCATACAGTTCCTGCCCTATTTGCTGTTTAAAACAGCCAAACTGTTGAAGTGAGGTTCCCAAAACTTTTTAATTCAGAATAAGTTTTATATACTAAAGTCTAGCATAAAGATCTACGTCACAGTGTAACAGAAAATAATTATTCCATGTCCTAGAATTGCATGTCTCACTATTCTGGTTCCTTATTCTCATTTAAAATAAGGTGAAAAAAAATTTGCATGTTTATGACATCAGCAAGATTAAATGGGATTAATGACTTTATTTCCACAAACTCTTGGATAGCCTGCTTAAAAAAAATTCTCATCCTAATGTGGTGGCATTATCATTGCGTTGCTCAATTTTGGCTCGTGATCAATAGAATAATTTTTAGACAGAACTGGACTAATACTTCCACTTAGTCTAGATGCTTTTCTACTTAGATTATTCCTGAAAATACCACTAATGGGCTTTTACAAAGATTGATGTAGACATATAATCCTTTCTATGAAGAGCATTATTGCCTGTGCAGAATTGTAGTTCATATTTAGCTAAGGCTAGAAAATTATAAAGAACTTCATATAATGTTACATTTGGTAATGCTCTAAGAGTACCACATCTGAAGCTATATTGAGCTCTTCTATATAATGTAACAGAAATCTCTGCTAAATGCCTCTGAATAGCCTAAACAGTGATGTATAGCCCAAAGTATCCCACCACAGAAAGTGTCTGTGATTGATGGCGCAATATTCCTTGGGAATAAGAACACAAGGATTTGGAATTTAGAAAGCCTTGTATTTTAATTAGGAAGTCAACATTTAAAAACTATTCCATATAATGAACAGCACACTATTCCTCAATGCTTGGGGTCTGGGAGTCAGTACTAGGTTAAACAATAGAGAGGAATGGAGAGTCCCTGTCATCTGAAAAGCACAAAGACAATGAAATGCATTGTTCTCACTGATCTAGCACATGAAGTTATAAATTTACATGTTTATATGATTCAAAGAACATATATTGAAAAGTGAATTGTGCCTACCGCAGCAAATGAAAGTATTTCTTATACAACAGAATATTGATTAGGGTTAAGTGCTTGCATAGTCATTGACAGCTTCTATTTATTCCAGAAAAAAGGCTACTAATATTTTTAAAGATATTGAACAGTCAATATATCTGTATTAAAAGTATTAATACAGATCTCCTGTTCAAGTTTTGGAGGACAGAAAACTCTAACACAACAATTTGAATATGAAAAATATCACAGGGAGAGATTCAAATGTGAGATTGCACACATCATCACATCACAATCTCCTCTGATGATAGCAATATCTAATATGAAGATCTTGGATCCTTGTAGCTGTTAACTAACATAGGAAAGAATCTTTATGAAATAAAGCAGGTATGATTTCTATTTGCTTTTGAGAAATATTTTTTTGCTAACATTCAGCTGCAGTGAAAAGAGAGCTCAGAATAACCATTAGAATACAATAGGTCCTGTTTTCAAGACCTCAACAAGCAATAAACCCAGATATTGAACCATTCTTACACATTTATCAGCACAAAAAAGTTTTAAGTTGCTCAGTATACAGCTGGTTTCATAGTGAGCTGCATGGTATATGTGACTTTATTTAAGGCAGGTACCATGAGATGATAGTATGGAAAATCCATGCTCCAGTAGCAAATGTCAGTAGATATGTCGCTCCTGACAATTAGCTGAACAGGGAAGGGTTCTTGGTCGTCCATGGTTCTCTCACAATGTGTTTCAATGACCAATGTGGCTTTTTGAAGCTGTATGGTTTCATGCAAAGTAAGCAAGAGAAATTTTTTGTAACCTTGGAAATATATACTATTTATAAAATAGTATTGACCTGCAATTCTTGATAAATGTAATATTTTGCCTCTTCTTTTTACAACTTTGTTCCTTGTGTTCAACATTTTGCTGTTTTTTTATTAGAAAATTATATGTGGAAGCAGAAATCCTTTTTCTTTCCTTTCTTCCAAAGCCTTCTTTCTTCCTTCATTCCAGAAACCTTCAAAAGATGCAGCTAGCTATATCTAATAAATAGATAGATCTACCTAGATTATGTAATATTCTGAATGCCCTGGTCAGGAATAATAAAGCTCAAATAACTGTAAATATTGTGCCTGATATTTTGTTGCTATACAAGCTATTCCAAATCTGAGAGAAACACAGAGGAATTACGCCTGACTGCCTGAGATGAGCTTCTGTAGTTGCACTTCTTGGGTCACAGGATTTGGGTGTGAAAAACTGCTCAGCTATGCAAGTATTGAATTTTTTTGAGAGGAACATATTACATTGAAACATGTATCAGCTAAAAAAGTAAAAACCTAATGAAAATTATTAATGTTTAATAGTTTTTTACTGCTTTTATAAAATCAAACAAACAAAAGCTGAAGTGTTTGTATTTAGTAAATATTTTTCTTTTAAGAATAATTCCAGAGATTTCATTTGAAATATAAATATAAATTTTTATGATTTCTTTTAAAGGGCCGTAGTGTCAAAACACACAACTGAGAGATTTCTTTGCACAATTGCACTCTACCTGCAGAGAGAGATCTTGTTGTGAAATAACAGCTAGAAGAATATTTTTTTTACCAAGGAAATCCATATCAGTGAGGTTTCTCATAGTTCCACAAATCAATAATATCTTAGAAGCAAAAGTACTGCAATAGTAAACTAATGAGAAGCTAATTTTATCATATGGGGATCAAATTTTTCATAAATAATTTAGATTTCTAGGATCTTACAAACTTCTTATTGAAGTTTACATATTGGGCTCCAAAGACTTACTTAATGTTTGATTCAGGTTTTTACAATTAATTAATACACTGCATGTAGTATATTCAGTAGTTTTGTTTGTAATAACTGTTATAAATATAACACATTCTGCAACACAATGCACTCTCATGGTATGAGAAGAGCCTTGCTCCACCCTCTTGACATTCTTGCCTTAGATACTGACAGGCACTGATGAGGCCCCCTCTCAGTCATCTCTCCTCAAGGCTGAACAGGCACAGCTCCCCCAGCCTTTCCTGATAAGAGAGATGTTCCATTCCCCTGATCATCTCTCATCCTCTGTGGGACCCACTCCAGGAGCTCCATGTCTCTCCTGCACTGATGAGCCCAGAACTGGACACAGAACTCCAGATGTGCCTCAGCAGGGCTGAGTGGAGTGGCAGGATCACCTCCCTGGACCTGCTGGCAGTGCTCTTCCCAATGCAGCCCTGGATTCCATTGGCCTTCCTGGCCACAAGGGCACTGCTGGCTCATGGACAGCTTGTTGTCCACCAGGATCCCCAGGACCTTCTCCACAGATCTGCTTCCCAGCAGGTGGGCCCTGAGGCTGTGCTGGTGCAGAAAGTTGTTTTTCCCCAGGAGCAAGATCCTGCATTTGCCTTTGCTGAATTTCAGACAGTTCCTCTCTGCCCATCTCTCCAACCTGTTGTCCTTCTGCAGGGCTGCACAGACCTCTGAGGTATTGATCAATGTTTCCTGGCTTGGGTCATCAGTGAAATTACTGCTCTTCTCGTATCTATCCATCCAGATTTTCCCATTTTAGTGGTTAAGCACACTTTGCCCTTCATATGTAATAATATTTATATGTTTACTTTATGTATGTTTAGAAATATGTACATAAATTCATATGCATTTAAATTGTATATACATTTTTGAATCTTGTCAAGGACGTTAGTTATGTTTTTAGGAATAGATATTGTTTCTTCTTTTCAAGATGATTCTTAAGTGGAAAGCAGAATATTATGTACTTGACACAAAATAAAAGAATGCCAAAGCAAATGAAATACAACACTAAATAACTGCAGAAATATTAGTTGTGATTATTATACTCATTAAATATTTTATTCCAAAATGCAGGACAAGGTGGTGTTAAATAAGGTGATGAAAATAAAACAATTAAATTACTTCCTACTTAAAGAATTCTAAGAATTAATAATAAAAAATTTAAAAATTACATCCAGTAGGAGCTCTCAATATTTAAACTGGATTAGCTTACATTTTTTTACCTGCTTATCAAGCATTAATAGATTGCATGCTACTATTACTGAAAAAAAGGGCC